CTAAATTTCTGTTGTTTATAAGCTACCCAGTCTGTGGTATTTTGTTATTGTAGACTGAATGCACTAAAACATTTCCCTAACCTAATAAGGGAGAAATAAAATGAAAGTTTGCTTATAATAAAAAAATATATATTCATGGTATTAAATATATCAGTGAGCTCACTATGTATACTGGGCACAACTGCAGTAGAAAACATGATAAAGTGGTCAGATGTTTGCGCCTCCATGCAGAATCACTGTGATAGTGACAGCTAAAAATGTAGATTGATTTTGGAGACACATATACCACACAGGGCACTGTTGTCTGTGACATGATTTTTCTGAAACGGTGAATGACTCTTAGTCAAGTTCTGAATGAAAGCAAGCACAATCCTTCAGTTAACAAGAGGCTGCATTCCTGGAAGATTTAGCATATATAAAAAGACTCTATGGTTACATATAAAACAGAATTCTAGACTCTGATAATTATAAACAAAGTTTCACCTGCCTAAAATGTACATCTGTATATTTGAGGTTGTGAGGGGCCAGGCAAAGAATCTTCAATGCATAAGGCTGTTTCTTGCTTCTGAGGATATCCTGCATTTCTGGTCAGGATCAGTGAGCTAGGGGATGTTGGCTCTAGTTATTAGGCTGGTGACACGGAAGGGGGCACATGGCCCTGTTTCACTGCTCATCAACCTAAATCCTATATAAAAATTTTTGCTCACCTGCCCCGCTCCATTTTTTCTCCCCACTGGGATCCAAACCTTTCTTTGTGACCTCAGTCCTGTGCACAATATGCCAGTAGCACTGCACAACCAAAAGTTTCCCCCTACACACACATATTTCTAAAATGCCCCCAAGTGGTGGGGCTGCCTTCATGAGAACTGCTGGTCTTCATTATCAGGAAAAACCCATCTAGAGTTTTGGAAGGATTTCTTATTGCCCTACCAGAGATGCTTAGCAGAAAAGATTCAGAAAGAACATAAGAGTTTTCTTCAACGTCATATATTGAGGTATGGAAAAAACAGATTTGTTTTATGTTGCCCGAGAGATCAAACTCGGAGCCAGAGTAGACATAACCACGTGACAGACTTGAGCTTCACGGACCTTGAAAGTCATGTTTCTGTCGAGTCCTTTTCTGCTCCAAGAAGATGGAAGCTTTTTCCATTGTTAACGATTTTCATAGCCATCCAGTCTCTTTCTTTTGTGAGTCTGGATAAAGAAGGGTGGTGACAAAGGGAGAAAAATGAAACAGCTCAAGCCAGAGGACTCCTAGTCCAGGAGAGAGATCTGAGCTGGGAGATTTCAGACAAGAAGGTGACAGGAATAACCATTATGGTTCTATTTACCTCTATTTCAGCTGAACTTCCCTTGCACCTCAGGCCACACATACGTGCCACGAATATCACTATGGCTACCAAGTACTCCCACACCCTAAAAAAGTGTGAGGAAACCTGCAGAAGATGTGGCACCAGGGTAATGTCAGGTCCTGTCATGCACCTTAAAGGTAGAAGAAGGTGACATGAAGAGGCCAAAAATGGGGGCTATTTTGGAATTTTAAGTGTATCAACATTTGGGCTTCAAGTATCCTCTGAATATAAGCTCCACTTATGGTAGCGCTGTTCCCAGATTCCAAGATGCAACCCCCAGATCTTTAGCCATAGCCTGTATTCACATTATTTTCCTCCTGAGCCCTTGAGCAAATAATCTCAGAGGCATTGAGAGTGGTTGCGTTCCCTTCAGTTGGATATACTGCAATAGAGGGAATATGTACAAGTAAGTGTGAAGGTGGAGAAATAAATGAAACCCAGAGGAATGGTTTTGAAACACTGGGACAGTTTGTATGCCCGCATTAACATGGCAGTGGCTCATTTACCATACTCTATGGAAAAACTCCAATCATCCTTTCTTTTGGAAAGACCAGCTCTCTAGGCCACACGCCTACAAGGGACCACCACCTAGTGGCAAATCAAGAGAACTGAAAGATTTATTTAGTAAAAGAACAGCACTGGATTCTACCTCCTTTGTACCTAGAGTTAAGGTTCATTTCTGCCAGGGGTAAACAAGTTTTCTTTGAGACCTTGAACTAAGAATGGTTTGTACCTTCTTTAATAGTTTAGGGAAAAAGTCAAAAGAAGAGTATGTAGTGACACATGAAAATTATATTGAAGTTTAATTTCAGTGACCATAAATAAAATTTTATTAAAAAACAGCCATACTAGGGGTGCCTGGCTGGCTCAGTCAGTGGAGCATGGCACTCTTGATCTTGGGGTAGTGAGTTTGAGCTCCACGTTGAACGTGGAGCCTACTTAAAAAGAAAAAAACAGCCATACTCATCTGTTTACATATTTTCCATGGCTGCTTTCACACTATAACAGCGAAGTTGAATACTTGCATCAAAGACCATATGGCCCACAAAGCTGAAAATATTTCCTATCTGGCCTTTTATAGACAATGTTTGCCAATGCCTGTTTTAAACTAATAATAACTTAATGCCTAGCAACATTAAATAAGCCAGGAGCTGCTCATTGCTTTCAAGTGAATTCACTGGCTGATTCACTCATTTATTTTGTAATCACTATGAGTGACAGAATCAAAGAAAATGTGCTAGATGTGCACATCTAGCACTCACATTCCAGAATGACAGGGGCAGGTTTCCTCCTTAATAGTCCATTATATCCTGTATAACTACATCACTGGCAAAACTTCAAACTCTCTGGGCTCTGTGTTCTTAATAAAATAACATGCTTGCTTCCAACCCTCTTCCTTTGGCCCCAAGAAATCCTTGGCTGCAAACTTCTTTCTTCCCAAGAATTCCTAAATTTGCTTATTCCACATGCATTTATCAGCACATGTATCAGGCACTGTGCTCAGTGCCCCGAAACAAGATGAATAAAATGTGAGCCCTGTCTTTAAGAAGACATTGATCATTTAGAGACGATTATGGAAGAGCATGTAAAGATGGTGAGAGAGATAGAGGAAGCAAAGGGGAAAAGATATCCAGGGCAGCCTGAGAAGTCAGGGAAGGCTTCAGAAAAGTAGCCGACAAAGATTAAGAAGGCAGGGACAGAACCAGAGCTGGAGGTGACCATTTTAGCCCTAAGGACATAGCAGCATGAACAGAGATGTGGAGGTAAAGAAAGAGCACGATGTGCAGATGCTACAATAGGTTGGGTATCGTAGGAGCTACAGAAGCACACATATTCTGTTTACCATTCGAGCACCAGACTATTGCCTTTATGTCCCAGTGTTTCATATACATTTGAAAGTTTTCTAACAATAAATGTCTGAATGTCTGAAATTGTGCTTTATTAACATTACCTCATGGTTTTCATAATACCCTTCAAAGTGGGTATTATTGAGGTTTCTAGTTAAAAAGCAGCAGCATCTCTTAAGTACAAACCCCAGAGAAACTCTCACATGTGTGCACAAGAAGGCTACATAAGAACATTAAGGCACCACTATCTATAATAGCAAAAATGGGAAACAGGTTCAATGTCTATCAATAGGAGAATGGATAGCTCACGGTGTATTCATGCAATGAAATGTTACAGAGCTGTGAAGGTGAATGAATTAGAACCTCACATCTCAGCATATCTGAATATCAAAACATAATGATAAGTGAAAAAAGTAAGTTGCAGGGCAATAAACAGTATGTATAATAACATTATGTAAAGTTTTAAATCATGCAAAGTAATACTTCCTGTTATTTAGGGATAGATACATACGTAACAAAAGCATTAAGAAATGAATAGGATTGAGAAATGCTGAATTCAGGATACAACTTACTTCTGGAGGAAGGAGTTCATTAGGAAGTAGGGAGAAGGCCTTTCAGAAGAAGGAGCAGCATATACAATAAACTGAGTCATGCAACAGTTTGGTATTTATAGGAATCAGTAAAGGTTTAATGTTGCTAAATCATAAAGTGAAAGCAGGGTGGGGAGGTGACAGCAGTAGGAAGACGATGAGATCAAGATGCACAGAAGCCCAGGAGTACTTGTCTTTGACTTTCTCCAACAGCCTATGGAGAGCCAGGAATGACTTCTGGATAGAACGCTCTCGCAGTAGTAATGAAGAGTAGATTGCACTGGTGAAGTCAGAAGGATAAGTTAGGCATCTGTTGCCATGATTCTACCAAGAGATGATGAGCACCTGAAACTAAGCAATGGCAGTGTGACAGGAAAGGAGAGTCTACTCAAGAGAAATTTTTGCAAAGCATACCAGGAGACTTGCCCATCAACCGGAAAATGGGTGGAATATTGTACAGCAGTGAGACAAATGAATAACACCTATATGCAACAGCTTGGATAATCCTCCAAGTGTTGAGTGAAACAAGTTCCAGAATACTGCATAGAGGAAGATATAAATCTTAGGAAATTCAAAAATAAACTTTTTTTTTGCTACACTCGTGTGTGATAAAGATATATATATGAAAGGAAATAAGGACTACAAGTCAGGATATTGATTTCTTTGGGAGATGGGGAATGAGATGAGGTGAGGTTGTGTATGTGTGTTTGAACATACGCATATACTGAAGGAGGGGAGATAAAAAGTCATTTATGGACCAGTATGACAACGTATCATGACCAAGGCTTCTGCTTCCTCTAACTCTGTACATTAAAGGCCCTAACAAAGAAAAGATGAACAGATAAAGGAGATGATGTATTTCTCAGATACTGTGGAGGAAGAATCCAGAGGTTTCCAGACTTTTTCTTTCTCAGTCGGTTTTAGATTTACTCAACCCGGGCGAGCGGCCGCACGCGTTCTCCCTTCCCTCGAACGACGAGGAGAAAGCACCTGGGAGAACACCTGCACCGAGAGGCGCGAGCCCCGGAAGAGACGCGAGAAGGGGGCGGGGCAGGCAGGGGGCGGAGCTAAAGGGCCTCTGTGGAAGCGGGGAGACCCGCGCAAGCGCAGTAGCGCGCTTTGCCGCCATGGCGCCGGCCCCGTCCAGTCAGCCGCCGGTGGTGGCGGAGACTTCCCCTCCGGAAGCTGGGTCTCCGCCTCCTCCTCTCACCCCGCCTGCTCGGCGGCGGAGGCGGCGGTGGCGGCAGCGGCTGTCCCTGCCTCTCCGCCACCTCCACCCCGGCCTATTCCCCGGCCGGCGGCGTTGGCGGGGAGGGGGAACAGTAGTTGTAGACGCCCGCCCCTGCCTCAGAGAAGGTGAGTTCCCGCCCCGGCGGCGGGGGCGACCCCGTCTTCAGCCCCTCAACTTCGCGGCCCAGGAACGGCTGGGCGCGCCCCGAACGTGCGCCATGGCCGACCGGGTCGGGGCGGGAGACTGTCCGCCCCCCACACCACTCGCCGCCCCTGGAAAGGGGCGCCACGGTCCCCAGGTGGAGCGTGGAGGGGAGAGGGACGCCTCAGCACGCTGAGGAAGCCAAGGATTGAGGGGGCAGAGAGGTGGCCAGGTCGAAGCCGACCTGGGACTGTCAGGGAAAAGGAAGCGGGATTGATGAGGAAGCTCCGAGATAAGGAAAGGGCGGGTGACGTGCGAGCGAGGAAACCTCTGCTGGGTACAAATTCAACAGTCGAGTAAGTACCTACGGAAAGTAGGTACTTAGGCAGAAGCGGAGTTAGGACTTTGCCGAGTGTAGGAAGGAGCCCGGGAACTTAGAACGGCGGGGGCCCTGAGGGAGAGAAGAGGGGCGAGAGTTTTGAGACGCCCCTTTGGAGGGTTTTTCTAGGTTTTTTTGAGGGTGACACCCTGTAAAACAGCTTCTAAGATTTATAGGGCTCTCTTGTTAGTGGTCTGAGTTCAGTACGGATCTACCAGTGTCAAGACAGCAAAGCGGACATGAGTGAGAGCGGTGAAAATTTTTATTCAGAAACTACCGACGGTAGGGGAAAGAGCTGAGCTCCCTTCGGATTTGCTCAGAGCTGACTGGGACTTTAAAGGGAAAAGGAGGGACTGGAGGAGAGGGGGAGTTCAAGAGTCAGGGAAGTGAGAAATTACAAAGGGTTGTTCCGTGTGGATGCTGTGAAGCCAGCTGTGTCCGCTTGCTGGCAAGTAAGGAAGTTACGATTCTGTCCTCCCACAGCCGCCGGGAGACCTAGGCTTCTCCTTCCTGATGATTACACTTGAAAGGAATGGCTTCCAGGTCTTTGAGAAGCCTTTGAGAAGGCTCCGGAGTTGTAGGAGGTACACATCCGTCTCAGACCGGGAGGATTCACAATCCAGAGCCCTTTTTAGTTAAACACTCTCAAAAAGAGAGGTCGGGGGCCTGTCATTAGGTATTGGTTCTAAAAACAGTACATCTATTTTGACAGCTCTGAGCTTTTTCTAGCAGGAGCTGCAAAGAGGACTGGGTCATCCCAGGGATTCAGCCTTAAGCTGCTGGAGGCCATGTTACAATTTGGGCAAGTCTTCGTGCAGGAGTTTGGAAGGAGTGTTTCTGCCCAAAGTTCTCACAGTTCTCACCAACACGTTTCCCCTAACACAAAAAGCTATTTCTTGATCATCTCAATTTAACAGATGTTTGCGTTCTTACAAGTACTATATGCCTGTGAACAGCCTGCTTGTTCCAAACTAAGGTAAGGCTGTAAGGCACTTTGGGAATGATTTTAGATGGTGGAGCTTGATCACATTGCAGATCTCAGTAAAACATTCAACCAACCTCAGTTTCATAATTTTTAGTATTTACTGTGTTGCCCTATATTGCTTTTTTGTCTCCAGAGTGAAAGATGGTGGAAGCCAAAATATTGTAGAATAATTTAGGTTCCTTTTTTTCTGGAGAGACATTAATAAATATAATAACCTAATGGAAATAACTTCGTTTTCACCCTCTTTCGTGATATTTTCCATTTTTCTGTGCTATTTTACATATTTCACTTTGGAGGAATGGCAAAGTAGTGAAAAAAAAGTACACATTTCTTTTTTTTATGGTTTTAGATTTTACATTTATATTTTATTTTTTTTAGTACACATTTCTTAAAACATTTTTGTAAGCACCTTATATAAATTCCATACACTAAAAATGGAATTAATCAATGCAACCAAATGATGTTCTATTAAAGGTCTCTTAGTAAAGGCAACCTTTGGAAGACTAGATTTAGTGTCTTCAGTCACCCTAGGTTATCATTGTTCTGAAAAAAAATAAAATCTGGATTTATTTGTTTTCATACCAAACTTACTGCCTCTCACCAACAAGTAAGCCTGAGCAGTTTATAGGTGTCGAGACTACAATTTGGCTCTTATAGCCAGATCACAGGAAGATTTGGAAACAGTTTCTCATGGAAAAACAGTTTTTTGCCAGATGACATTTTTTGTTGGTGTGTGTGTGTGATGACTTTGAATGTGTGCAATTACTTAAGACTTTTTACAGTGTCAGTTCACACAATGCTAGCAGTAACCTTTCTATGCAACTTCAAGATGGTATAATGAGAATACTGGAACAGGAATCTTAACAAGTAATAGATTGTAGTGTTAGTTTGTCCACTAGCAGTATGACCTGAGTAAGTCCTGAACTTCTTTCAAACTCAAAGTCCCAAATTTCTTTTTTGAGTTTTGTCGTCTGTGGGGAGGGAAAATTGGATTAGCCCAATTGAGTGGTTCTCAACCAGGGATTATTTACACTCCCACCCCAGAGGACATTTGGCAATTTCTGGAGACATTTTTGGTTTCCACCACTGGGCAAGAAAGAGCATGGTGAGCACAGGTGCTACTTGGCATCTATTTGATGTAGGGCAGAGATGTTGGCAAACATCCTAAAATGGACAGGGCCACCCCAACAAAGGATTCTCCTACCCAAGATGCCAGTAGTGTTAAGGTTGAGGACCTCTGTACCAGCCAAACTCTGAGGTCCTTGACAGCATTAAAATTATGAACTGACTATTTACAGTTCCTTACTGATAATTCTTTCCATGGATTGGCTGTGTACTAGAACAGCAGTTCCTAAAACATGAAACTTCAACCTATAATGGTTATCCGGTGACATTCAAAAGAGTGATGAAATACAGACCATTCACTAGGATTTGAAAAGATATAATTCGTTACCTAAAAGATTACCTCTTGTCACTTTATTTTGGGTAAATATCCTTCATTAACTGTTCAGTTAACTGCTGCCTAACAAATGGCCAATATTGGTATATTATACTATTTAAAACAATGATAGGAGTCAATATATTTTTTTTAAAGATTTTATTTTATTTATTTGACAGAGCACGCACAAGCAGGGGGAGCAGCAGGCAGAGGGAGGGAGAAGCAGGCTCCCCTCTGAGCAGGGTGCCTGACACAGGGCTCCATCCCAGGACTGCGGGATCATGACCTGAGCAGAAGGCAGCCACTTAATGACTGAGCCACCCAGGCACCCTGAGTCAATATATTTTTAGTTGAGATATTTGGTTTTTTGGTTTTTTTTTAAGTTTTTATTTATTTGTCAGAGAGTGAGAGAGCACAAGCAGGGGGAGTGGCAGGCAGAGGGAGAAGCAGGCTCCCCACGAGTCCCCTGATGCGGGACTCAATCCCAGGACCCTGGGATCATGACCTGAGCTGAAGGCAGAGGCTCAACCGACTGAGCCACCCAGGCGCCCCTAGTTGAGATATTTGTAAAAGCCTTAAGTAATTGCCAGTCAAGATAGTTCATAAACAAGAAGTGGGAGGGGAAATGTTGCCTAATTACTTATCCAGTATTTTTTTTTTCTAAAAAGACTTAGGAGATTCATGCAAAATGTATGAAAGAATTATCATGCATCCAGTTACTAAAATTCCAGCCACATTCAAGATCCTGATAGGACCATTAAAACTGCTTTGAAGAAACTCTTCTATCCATTTTCACCTATAGCTGTAACACTCCTAAGAGGAGGATTAAATATTGGCAAGCAGGGAATATATACAAGGTGTAAGATTACAAGTAGGAAATTGAGAAATTAAACTCAGTCACATACACACACACACACACACACACACACAGATACCACGTGACCAGACTTACATGAAAAGAAACATACATAGAATTTATGGTGAAGTTGTCATAAGATTTTCCAGGACACTGTGTAATTCATTCAGTGATGTTTCTCAAGTATTTTTGACAGTTAAAAAATTTTTCACCTGGTAATGATATTCCTGAAGAATCAGTAAAACAAAACCACAACAAACAATTCTTGCGTATTTGCCTCTCTTTAAGAAAAAAAATTAAACGGATTCAGTTTTAGAATAAAAGGACATTTTTGACTCCTAATTGAATCATTAACCCATTCACATAGCAATTGCCTAAAAATATTTTCCTTTGTTTTCATGACATTAAGCAGAGATTTTATCATTTGGTCCAAATGACAAAATCTAGCTAATAGCTAACATGTTAACATTTATTCAGAAAATATTTATTGAGCTCCTGCTATGTACCAGTTACTCTGCTCAGTACCAAGGACATACAAATGAATTAGGCACAGCCCTTTAAAGAGCTTAGTATTAATGTTTGTTAGTGAAATTAGAAAAAGAAAAAGTGGAAAAAATGCAGGGGTTTAAGTTTATTTCTCTCTCAAATTACAGTAAAGATGAGTGCACCAGAGCTGGCATGGCTGCTTTGCCATTGCTGACACACAGCTTCCATCTCTGAGTCTGAAATGGCTATAGAGGAAATGTGGGCTAGTAGTGTAAGGCAGTCAGATTCTCCATGGGGGGTGGGAAGGAGACAGGTTATTTGACAACCTCTAAAACTGGTAAGAAATAGCAGGATGAGCACATTAGAGAAAATGCAGTTGTAAGTGTAGATCAGCCAGGACTCCTGGAATAATCAGGAGTAGTTCACACACACACACACACACACACACACACACACACACACACACACGAG